GTCTTTTCCACCCCTCCACTCCTTCCAGGCCCCTTTGCTTTCTAATCCAGGTCCCCATTATAAAATTTCTATATCTTTCTTGGAATGGTAGCTTTGCCACTGTAGACATTTGTCAAACTATGGAACTAAAGATTTTTAAGTCTGTGCATTTTATTATGTATAAATTGAAGAACAGCTAAGCACCTAGACAGTGAGCAGCCATCACCCCCTTCCCTCAGGGGAGGCCACAGCAGCTCAGGGGCTTTCAGCACTGGTTTTCAGCTTTCTCTTTGTTTTTGGCCCCTAGGAATTTCTCTTACATTCTTAGGAGCTCACCCTGCAATTTAAAGGATGTCTGTTTTAATTTCTGGAGCAGTTTTAGGTGTTTATATGAGTGAGTTTCCAAATAATCTCATGTACCTCCTGGTAGAAACACAAGTTAGCAGTTTTAAAACTTTCAAGTAAATGTTGGCCAGAGAAGATGGCTTCAGATTTAGAAAAATGAGCTGAACTAGGAACAAAAACATGTGTAGACAACTGTATAGTAAGTCATTCATTCATTCATTTGTTCAACACATATTTATTGTACTTCTTACCTGCCAGCTGCTGGACTAGGCAGTGACCAAAACAAACCCTGTTCTTAAGGGACTTGGATTCAGGGGAGGAGGTAGACAGTAACAAGCATGTGATGTGTCAGGCTGGGGTGCGTCCGCGTGATGGCTGTAGTCTAATTCAGCGATGCAGTGAGAGGTTTTTAGATTAAGTAATATTAGCTGAAATTTGCTAATCTAAAATTAAAATGTGTTTAGTAAACCAGTTAAATGATGTTGACAGTTTTGGAATTAGAATTTCCAGCATCTAATGTCCCTTAGATCGTGGAGTGGCATTATGATGTAGAGCAGAGATTCAGAAACTTGGTTCTGAGTATTCTGTAGAAAAGGATGTGATGGTCAAGATTCAGTTTTGGAAATCCACACATGTATTAATAAATGAAAGTCTTTATTTTTGAAATAACCTATGGTTAAGAAATCTGTTTTATTTTAACCTTCCATTTCCCAGATAAATTTTACTATGGAGTGTTGTATAGAACATAGTTTGAGAAACAATAGAATCTCAACTCTGCAACTTACTGTTTATGCAACCTCACTAGCTTTTATTAGGTGGAAATAAGTCTTTGCTTTATAACATTGTTCTGAAGAATATCTAAAATAATGTGTAGGAAGCCTCTAGTATAGTTTCAGGTATCTGGTTGATTAATAGTTCATGTTAACAGCCTTCTCTGATATTTAATATACTTGCTTAGAAATAGATATTATGTGCAGAGATTGGCAGTGTTCTTATTAATGTCTAAGTGTGACTTTTATTAACAGGAAACTGTGGAGATATAAATTTAGTACGTCTGGGTCCAGAGAAGTCTATTAATAATGAGGTCCTAAAATTCAGTTTGGACAGCCAGGTTAACCACCGAATGAGTAAGTACTGAATCAGGTACCTGCTAATGTTACTTCTGTTTTCTAATGTGTGGTCGAAAATGGCCTGGGCATTAAAGGTAATTTGGAGACCGTAGAAACAATCTAGGAGACCCTCGAAACTAGCTTTGGAAACTAGTGTTTCTTCTCACTGTGTGTGCACGTGTGTGTGTGTTGGAATTAGCATATCATTCATCTCCTCCCCCCCCCTTTTTTTAGAGAAAGAGTTACCTTCCCATGTTCAGGAGATGCACAGAAGGAAGGAATATCTAGACCGTCAGCTGGATGAGCTTTCCCGCCGGCGTGCGTTATGCCGAGGGGGGCGGGAAGTACAGGTATCTAAATGCTTCTTGATCAATGTTTTTATATAACTCATATATAAAGTAGTTGATGAGCATTTGATACCATTCTTTATTGTGGAATAGCATAATTTGTGTATAAAAATGTATGCAAAAATTGTGTCTTACATCAGGAGTTACAAACTTTTCTTGAAAAGGACAAGATGGTAAGTATCTTAGACTTTGCAGGCCATGTGGAGTCTGTTTCAACCACTCAGCTCTCCTCTTGAAGCGTGAAAGCAGTGATTCATAATCCATAAACAGGGGTGTGGCTGTGTTCCGATAAAACTTTATGAAAACAGATGAGTTGAGTTTAGCCTGCAGGCTCAGTTGGCTGTTGCTTGCCTTATCTGAAAGCCATACTAATTTTGTTAGGTATCTTTCAGTTGCAAGTTAAAAACCCAATTCAACTTAAGTTGTACCAAAAGGAAATTAACTGGTTCATGTACCTGGGGAATCTGGAAGTGGATTAATTTTTCAGCATGGCTGGATCCAGAGACTCAAATGATGTCATTTCTCCACCCCTTGATTTTTCCCGTGAGTCATCTATTTTTCCTCCTGCGTCCACCGTCCCAGCTTAGAAAAACTGTCTGGAGAGGTCTCTCTCCCAGTATCCATGCATCAGTTTTAACGAAGGACTCTGATTAGTCCCTGGAGGATGCAAGCAGGTCTAATCCCTATTTTTAAGGAAATGAGTGCTGTGATTTACCAGGCCTGTGTTAAATGCCTATTCCTGTGGCCAGAGGAATGACTGGGGAGCAATTGATAACCTCATTTGACCTCCTAGATGAGTGGAGGGTTGGATGCTAAGCAGACAGACAGAGCATAACTGCAGTACACGGGACAGAACTGAATCTTTACAGAGTGTTAAGAATGTGTCAATGAAAGGTTCATGCTGTACAGTGCAGGGAACTGTATTTAATATCTTGTAGTACCTTATGGTGAAAAAGAATATGAAAATCAATATATGTTTGTGTGAGGTGATACCCCGTTGTAGTTTTGATTTGCATCTCTCTTACTTAGCGATACTGAGCATCTTATGTGCCTGTTGGCCTTCTGTATGTCTTCATTGGAGAAATGTCTGTTTAGGTCTTCTGCCTAGTATTTGATTGGGTTGTTTGTGGGGTTTCTTTGTTGTTGTTGTTACTGAGTTGTATTCACAGGTCTTGAAGGAAGTACAAGGCATGCCTTATGACAGGGAGGCCTGACAGAGTGCGGACAGAGAGAGGCAGGACCTGGGCGCCCGCCTTTGTTAGAGCCCCTGGGTGGAGTGCTTTAGGGTTCCCGGGCTGAGGCTGGATTGGTCAGCTTTAGCCAAAAGAGCAGGAGTTTGGTGAGCTGCTTGGAGGGCCTTATCTAAGGAAAGTCTTTTCTCAGGGGCATGTAAGGGGAAGGCGTGAAAGGCAGGGGAGACTAGATCACAAGAGCATGCATTTGCTTGTGACTCTGTGGGCTGCTGTCTGGGGCCTAACCGAGCTTGAAGAGGCGGGCGTCATTTTAAGGTCTCCGCAGGCCGCTCGGCCAGAGTGGCTGCCAGGGCAGCGACAGCATGGAGCGGCTTGGCTGAGCGCTGACGTGCGGTAGCACAGGAGCGTCATGTCAGGACTTCAGTGGTACAGAGAGAGGCACCGGCTGTGTAAGCTTTTCATTAATAAAGTATAGACTCACCCTTTAGAAATGCGAGGCAGTCTGTTGGAAAGCATTTTAAAATGCTTAGTTTGATTCTAATGATGGCATTCTAATTTTTTCCAGAGGCAAGAATTAGATGAAAAAATTGCCGAAGTTTCAAAAGAAAGGCAGGAACTTGCTTCTAAAATTAAAGAGGTAAGTAGTTAACCTGTAACATTTCCCTTGTTCTTCTTTTCTTTTTCTTTCTTTCCTTTTTTTTTTGTTAATTATGAACTGGTTCAGACAACCTATGGTCTTTTCTCAATTACATTTTAAAATTTTTTATTATGAAAAATTTCAAACACATACAAAAGTGGAGAAAATGGTGTAATTACAGATATGTTTAAACAGATTTTTTTTTAAGCCTGATAGTGAATTCTTACTACTGCCTGAGATTTCTAAGAAAGAGGTGATTATAAAATTTTCCTTTTCTAGGTCTGGCTGAATGTTTCTAAAACTCTGTCTAGTGAACTGCTCTGCTTCTCCGCTCCCCGCACAATTGTGTTATTTATCTTCAGATTAATAATTAATGAGACTAGGTTTGTAGGTTTTCTCTGTTAAAAAGAAAAAGAAAACACTTGTCTGAATTCAAGTAGGATTTGGCACAAGAAGTAAAAATACCTTGCTCTCAATTTTTGGGTGAAAGCATGAACTCTCTTTTTCTTGTTTTTTATCATAAGAATCCTTCTATAATATGTGTAACTTTTTCCCCAGTATTCTTTGGATATAAAAATGTCAACTGAGATTTAGAGTGGTGATGCTAGGATGAGCCGGGTGTATACCCTCACCACCAGAATGCAGCCCTAATAAACTGAATCCAGAGTCAAGGAGAGGGGTTGATATCCACTGGTAATGGTATTTGTATTTTTGCCCTGAGATTTTTTTCTCTTGAGCGCATTATTAGCCTTCTCTGTGTGGCTGAATAAACACAGTTAAATTTAATGCGTATTTTCATTAGCAGTTTGTTTATTTAAATTAAAAATTACATGGGAAGCTTTTTATTGAAATTTTAAACTGAGCCCAAAATTAATTTTCCTAAATTCAAGCACAATGTCCATGTCTACAGGTATTGTGAGTTTTGCTGCTCACCACATTGTTCTGTGGGCCATTCAGTTAGTTGTCCTTGGCATTTTCACTCATTAGATGGCTAACGGGGAGTACGTGACAGTGCTTCAGCGTGTCGGCACTGTAAGACTGCAGGCACCACCCTCTTCCTAAAGCTCACGTACAGCCTCGGAGTCCGTGGTTGAATATCTCATGTGTTCAGGAATGTTTCACTGCTACTTTTCAGGAGCAGGAATAGGCAAACCAGATCTCTGATGAGAAAACCAGTTTATTAATTTGAACACTAAACGGTATACATTGTGAGGTGTCATTCATGCTGTCAGTCTCCATCACAGTTTATGCTACTGCATGTGTAGACCAGGGTGGTTTTTCTTACTGTGGGAGTAGAATGCTCATCAGTTTCACAGGCATTTTTGTTAGTACTAGCCCTTATTTTAAAAAAAGAACATTGTTACATACTTAAAAACTCAGGAAAAGGTGTGTTGAAGCTTAGTTCTGATCCTGGTTTCACGCAAGTGAGTGCTTCATAACTCAGTAGAATTATTTAATCTCATTATGATACCTTCCCACATAAGAATTGTAATCTACTTTGACCAAATTAAATCTTGAATGAATTTTTCTTAATGTGCTTAAATCATGTTCTAAGATTAGACTTCACTGCAAAGCACAGTGTTCTTTCTGGTGACTTCTGATTATCTTGAATGCTTCTGCTGTTTTCTAGATTTGAGGTTCCCCCCAGCATTTATTAGATACAATTCTGTCACATAATAAATAGTGGGTGTTTTATAATGAAAAATAGGCCTGTTGTAGTCAAGAGTGTATATACAACAGAATGTTGATTAACTTCTATTTTGTTAGGTTCAAGGACGCCCACAGAAAACACAGAGCATCATCATTTTGGAGTCCCACATCATCTGCTGCACGCTGAGTACGAGCGGTGGTTTACTGCTCGAGTCTGCTTTTCGTGGCCAAGGGGGTGTCCCCTTCAGTTGTGTCATTGTCGATGAGGTCAGTGAGCAGTTGGCCTGGTGCTGTAAGGAATAAGTCTTAGGCAAAGAGTGGCGGCCGGGGTGTTGACAGCGTGGTCTTTCTGCACCTGGTTTTCCCTGCCATTGCATGCGTATCCTCTTACGTTGAAATACGCTGCTGCTGACCCGCCATGGTAAAAACTGCTTTTCCAGCATTAGGATTATGGACTCAAGGTGTCCCTCCCAAGGATTATCATGCTCCTGCTTGGAATATCTCTGGTTACCTTTTTAGGCATTTCTTTTTCTTTTGATTAAAGAGAGATTAATTTAGAGAGATACATACTGCATAAAGTGTAGGCTTTTCAAAGGGCAAGAAGGCGGCAAGGAAAGAGGTGTGGAAGTTGGATGCTCAGATTAAAGTAAAAGTGGGTGCACAGTCCCGAGACAGAGTGTGGGCCATCTCTGAAGAGGAGGGAGCGGAAAAGGCTTGAAGCATTTTTAGTGTAACTTGGGACAGCTCTGAGCCACCATATTTTCATCCTTTATTACCTAGTTTATTCACTGAGCAAACATGTACTGGTTATTTACTGTTTGCCAGAACATAGAGCCCAGAAGACAAAAGAGATGGAAAATGAGGTGCAGAGAACCAACCCACCCAGGAGGTCTGAGCTCCAGGACTCACCAAAATGAAGGAACAGCAAAGGTGGAAGTGATGAAATAATTGAAGGAAATGTCATTGAATTGAGAAGAAGCTTGAGTCTTACAGTTGAAGAGGCCTAGAGAGGAGCAAGGAAGAAGGCAGGGGGTGGGGGCTGGGACACACACAGACACGCACTCCCCTCAGGCACGTGCCCACCCAGCAGGAGGAAGGAGCGCAGACGCTGCGAGGTGGTTCCCAAGTGGTAGTGGCACCCAAGTGGTGGCTGACTTAGAACGTAGGTGTGAATTTTTTTCAGTGTTTAGAATATTTTTGTTGTTTGTTTTACTTTCTAACTAAAGAAAATCCTTAGTTTTGATATTTGGTGCAGAAGGAGAGAATGTGTGGCACTTTTCCTGAATGATTAGAATTTTTATGAATTAGACTCTACATGGATAAATAAATAACAGATAATTAAGAATATGTCTCCATCCTATACTTTCTTACCCAGGCTGGGCAGTCTTGTGAAGTTGAAACGCTTACTCCACTCATCCATCGTTGCAACAAGCTTATCCTTGTAGGAGATCCTAAACAGCTCCCTCCCACAGTCATCTCTATGGTAAGTTTTTTCATATTCAGATTGCTTTACTGTGGAAGGGGCTTTTTTTGGATTTTGAGAGGATAGGCGTCTTTCTTGGATCATCATCTCTCACTTGCAGGGGAAGACAGGGAATGGCTGAGAACAGAGAGCCACTGTTTGGAGCCTTAATAGTGAAAGTCTCTGGAAGTGTTCCTTTGTTGATAATTGTGCTTTTGTGTGTGTGTGACAGGAGCAGAGTACATGTTAGAGAGCAGAAGTCTAGGAAGATGGCGTTCCACACACAGTGGGCTGTTCCTTTGACAGAGGCGGCGTGCAGCTCTTCTAAGGGCTGTACCTGAATTATTTTAATAACATAAACTCCAAAACATTAATAAAAGAAAAACTTTAAAAGCAGGGAGAAGAATCTCAACTTTGATTTATATTTAAATATGTGCAAATTTGAGGAAAACATTATAAAGAGAAATGATTTTTAGAGTAAGATTTCCAATTTTAGAATTCTGTATCCTAGAGTGCAAGAAAGTGTGTCCCTCAGTCCTCTGAAAGGGATGGGAAAGGAAGAGAGACTGTGAGCTCTCCTGCTGGGGTGGTGAGCACAGAGACTGTGGTCCACTCCACTGCACTTTTTTAATCTCACCAAAGATGGCTTCTAGAAACGCACGGCAGAATCAGGATTCAGATATTTTGGGTAATCTCCATAGGTCTAGACCATGGTTTTAAAATTTAATAAAACTTGAACATTTTACTAATACAGGTTGTTTGTACAAATATATAGAGTAGTGGCTGCATGAACAATCCCAGAGGACAGATCATTTTCACAGCATTTCTGTTCAGTGATGGAATGAACGCATGTTGTTTTTGTTACTGTTTTTGACTTTGGAATCACTGGAAAATGACAGTGCAGCTCTTTGCCGTCTGAGCACGCATGCGTGGCCGTGAGGGCGTAGCCTGGGAGCCCCTCCATCTCTGGGTGAAAACTTGTCCAGAGGGAAGGGCTGCTGCAGGTGACTCTGCTCACAGAGAATCAGGAGGGGCCAGCTCTGTACTGCCTTCCTTGAATAACACAGTGTTTAAAAAGTTTCCTGATTTGACTTCTTGAAGGGCCCAGCATGTAGTGAAAATGATTTGTTGACAGGCCTTAACTTTACTGCCTACTTGGTGATTGATTAAGAACAGCAGAAATGAGAAAAATCCATTTGGGTTTTTTTTTTAATTGCAAAAAATGGTACAGTTTTATTGGGGAAATTTCAGAAGAGAATTCCAAAGTTAAATTTCATGCCTTTCAAACCACCTATTTCTAGGGATAATTACAGTGAACAGTTTAGTGAGTATTTGAACAGTTTGTGGACATGTGTGTGCTCACTTTTTTTCAGTCTGTGTTTATTGAATGTCAGCATAATTCAGGCACTGTTTTAAGATCTGGGGTATGACAGTGATGAAAACAGACAAAAATCCCTGCCTTCACAAAGTTTGACGTTCTGTTGGGTAACAGACAGTAAATAAGTTATTAAAAGATAGTTTGTCAGGGGGATCGGTGTAGCTCCATCATAGGGCACATGCTTAGCATGCACTAGGTGTCCTGGGTTCAATCCCCGGTACCTCCATTAAATAAGTAAATAAATAATGCCTCCATAAAACAGACAAATTACCCCCCTCAAAATACAATTAAAGACAGTATGCGTATCAGGTATGTATACATTTGTGTATAGATAGGGTGTGACCTTGTTTAAAGAATCAGTCTGTGCCAGATTGCCTTTTGTCCGATCAATGAATAGATCAGGAATATTCTTCCATGTCAGAACATAAAAATCTCCATCGTTTTGTAAGATGGACCCAGTTTTTTTCTGGAAGATGCCTTACCTCATATAAGCCAGTTTACTTTTCCCCAAGTGTGGAGAAAATGAGGTTTTGGCTAACTTGAA